CTCTCTCTCTCTCTCTCTCTCTCTCTCTCTCTCTCTCTCTCTCTCTCCTTTGCTTAGGTTCTTACTATGTTGTCCAAGCTAATTTTGAATTCTGGGTTCAAGTGATCCTCCTGCCTCAGCTGGGACTATGGGACTAAAGGTGTACACCACCTAGTATTGAGGTGGCCTCTTTCTTTTTTTTCCTTTTTATTTGTTTATGTGTATGAATGTTTTCCCTGCATATACATATATGTGCTTGCCTGGTGATCCTGAAAGTCTGAAGAGAGCATCAGATCCCCTGGAACTGGAATTACAGACAGCCGTGAGATGTCATCTAGGTGCTAGGAACCACCTGGGTCCCTGCAAGAGCAACAAGTGCTCTTTTTTTAATCAAGAAAATTGAAAAATGTTTTATTTTTACATGTATTGGTGTCTTGCTTGTGTGTATATCTGTGCAGCATATGTGTGCACTGTCCTTGAAGGCCAGAAGAAGGCTTTGGATCTTCTGGAGCTGGAGATACAGGTGTCACATGGGTTCTGGGAACTGGATACAGGTCCTCCTAGAAGAGCAGCCAGTGCTCTTAACATCCCAGTTATCTCTCTAGTCCCTTTTTGTTCTTTTGCCAATCTCATGTGACCTAGGCTGGCCTCAATTTTGACACGAAGCTGAGGAGTGGATGACTTTGAACTCCTTATCTGCCTCCATCTCCCTGGCATTAGGATCACAGGTGTGCCCTACCACACCTAGCTGGAGGCTCATTTGCTTTGTCTCTGCCATGGGAATTCTCTTAGGAGCACAAGCTTGACTGCTTCCTGGATCTTGGCGCTGTGACTTCCTGGACGCGTGGCCTTGGGTGACTGAGGAACCTCTGTAAATGGGGATAATAACAGCATGGTTTTATGGGGCAGTCTGCTTGTCAGGTACATCTGTTCCACAGGAAAGATGAAGCCACCACAGAGTGCAATAGGTTTGGGAAGAAAGGAAAAGTCTTCTGTGAGAAGAGGGTAGTTGACTGAGTGGACTGTAGTGAGAAAGAGGGGCGGGGTTCTTGTGAAGAGGGAGAGGAAGAACAGGGAGGACAGAAGGACAGAGGGCAGAAGGACAGAAGGACAGAAGAACACGGAGGGGACAGAGGGCTCCAGGAGGAAGTAGAGGTGAGAAGATTGGATTAATGCATTTCTTACTCTTTCAACAAATAGCTGACAAAAACAAAGGAAGATTTTTAAAATTTGTTTATTCAATTTTTTTACTTCATTTTGAAGATTAATTTATTTTTATTTTATGTGTTTTGTCTACATGTATACTTTTTCACCACCTGCATGCATTGCCTGTGAAGGCCAGAAGAGGGTGTGGGAGTCCCCGGAACTGTAGTTACAAAAACCACCTTGTGGATGTGGGAACTCAGGACCTCTGGAAGAGCAGTAATCCTCTTAACTGTGATGCCATCGCTCCAGCCCCTCACCTATCTCCAGGGTCTCGCCTATCTCAGGCTGACCTTAAACTTGATAGATGACTGAAGATGGTTCTGACCTCCTGATCTCCTGCTTCCACCTCCCAAGTGCTGGGACCCAGGGCACTGGTCTATGCAGTGCTGGAACTTGGACCCAGAGCGTGTATGCTAGGCAAGAACTCTACCAATTGAGCCACAGACTCAGCTCATGATTTCAGAGGCTTCAGTCTATCGTGTTGGGGAAGGCACGGTGGAGCAGCCAGAGTCACAGCATGACTGAACAGGAAGCAGAGGGCAAGACAGGCAGTGGTCAGAAATAATAGGGACCCTCCCCCACCGCAAAGACTAGCCCCTAGAAATCTGCTTTCTCATTGTTTCCAGAACCATATCTGGGGGTCAAACCTTTAAGCCACAAGCCTGCAGGGGACATTTCAGATTCAAATCATAGTAGTCAGGGTAGTAAAGGGGCCTTTTCTACAGGGTCTTGAATGTCATGGACAGAGATTCCAGCTTGATTTGAAGTATAGGGAGGGGCCTAGAGCCCTGGAGACAGGCAGGGAAGGTGCCCAGAAGCGAGACCCTTGGGAAGGACAGGAAGAAACGGTCTGGTCAATTAACAGGTGGCAGGTCTGGGCTGGCTTCACTCCTTTCAGCTGTCAGGGCTACACTGGCACTGAGGGGCACACGGTGGGTGCTGCCATGGGCAGAGGTCAAAGGGCTCTGCTCCAGCTGGATCTGGCCTCCCACCTGGGCAGTATGGGTCATTGGGCATTTCTGGATCTGAACAGCTTCTCCCACAGGTGGCTGGAAAGGAGGGGGTCTCTGCAGAGAGACCAGCAAGCCCTGGAGGTTTTTCATGTTTTGACTTTCTGAGTCTAGGGGCCCTAAACAACCTGAGTACAGAGCTGGGATGCAGCCAGACCACTGCGGTACCAGGTGGGACTCTACACCGCCCAAACAGAGAGAACAAGCTTCTCAATGACTGTGCCTGTGACCCCAGCCGTGGAGCCCGCCGCCTGCTGGGCATCCTGTTGGATCATGGCTACACAGAAATCTCAACGCCGAAAGAGAACTGAGGGCTGCAGCCTTTCCCAGCCCGACTTTGCACCTGGAGAGAGCTCTGGGGCAGGGGCAGGGGGCAGGGGGCAGGGGGCAGAGGGCAGGAGCGCCAAGTCCACTGTCCTGCTTGTGTGACATTTTCTGCTCCTCTCTGATTCTCTTGGATCCCTCTACTGGACAGCTGTGTGAACTGAGCCCCTTTTAAAAACTGCCACCAGTGGGAGCCTGTGATCCCAGTACTTAACAGCCTGAGGCAGAAGGATCTTGAGTTTGAAGCCAGCCTGGGCTACTTATACAGTGAGAGCTTGTCCCGGACCAAGCCAAACCTGATAGCCTTCACTTTTTGTTGGTTCATTTGTTTGTTTTTTCGAGACAGGGTTTCTCTGTGTAACAGCTCTGGCTGTCCTTGAACTTTCTCTGTAGACCAGGCTGGCCTCGAACTCACAGAGATCTGCTTGCCTCTGCTTCCTGCGTGCTGGGATTAAAGGCGTGCGCTGCCACTGCCCAGCTAATTTCTACTTTTGTATTTTGAGACAGAGTCTTGAACTTATGAGACTACAGAGCCTAGCTTGCAATTTTCTTGCTTCAGCTTCCCTTATGGCCGGGAACACAGGTCTGTGCCACAAAGTCCAGGATTTTTTTTTTTTTTTTGGACAGCACTTCATGTAGCCCAGGCTTGCTTCAAGTCCTTATATAGCTAAGGATGATCCTCCTTCCTCCTCTTTCCAAGTCTTGGATCATAGGCATGTGCCATGACATTTGGTTTGATTTGACTTACCTAGTATTGGGGATGGTACCTGGGGCTTCCTGCATGGGAGACAAATGGTCTCCTAACTCAGTTGCATCCTCAGCCCTCTAGATTAAGTCTGTACCTTCTCTAATTCTTGTATAAATTTTATGAATCAATTGAAATAAAATAATTAAACTTCATTACATTTATTAATTTACTGTGTGTGTATTGGTGAGAGGATGAATTATGAGAGGTGGTTCCTTCCTTTCATCATGTGGGTCCCAGGGATCAAACTCAGACTGTGAGGCTTGGCCAACAGTGTCTTCTGGCCCTGTTTTTGTTTTCTGAGATAGGGATGTCTTTCTGTATGTGTGTTGCTTTTATTGGTTAATGAATAAAGCTGTTTTGGCTGAGTAAAGGGGGGGGATCTGCACAGAGATATATATAGAGAGAGTAGGCAGAGTCAAGGAGGCAAATGCTGGAAACTTACCAGTAGGCCACAGCCTCGTGGTGATACATAGATTAACAGAAATGGGTTAATTTAAGATGTAAGACCAAGCTAGGAATACGTCTAAGCTATTGGCCAAGCATTGTTATAATTAATATAGTTTCTATGTGGTTATTTGGCTCTGAGCGGCTGGGAAACCGACGAGGAGTCTCTGGTTACACTTTACAGCTATGGCTAGTCTGGAACTTGTTATTTAGACTAGACTAAGCTTGCTTTGAACTTCTCTTGATCCCCTTGCCTCTTCCTCCTAAGAGCTGGGAATATAGGCATGAGCTACCAGGCCTACTATTATTTTTTTTTTGAGGGGGGCAGAGTCTCTCTCTATAGACCTGGCTGCCCTAGAACTCATAGAGATCCACCTGCCTTTCCTGAGATTTAAAGGCATGTGCTACTATGCCCAATAGATTTTTTTAAATATTTATTTATTTGCTTATTATGTATACAGTATTTCTTCAGTCCAGAAGAGGGCACCAGACCCCATTACAGATGGTTGTGAGCCACCATGTGGTTGCTGGGAATTGAACTCAGGACCTTTGGAAGAACGGGCAATGCTCTTAACCGCTGAGCCATCTCTCCAGCCCCCAATAGATTTTTTTAAAGGTAAGTTTTGTATGTAGCCAAGGCTAGTCTTAAACTTACCATTCTCTTGGCCTCCTGAATGGTGGGGTTACAGGTGTGAGCCCCCATGCTGAACTGAGGAGTTAATTTCATTGAAAAGGAGCTGATCAAGAAAGACCTCTGAGAAAGCCGGTTCTTGTGCCGCTGTCGTTCATAGTACAAGATGCAAGTGTGTCCAACATACATCAGTGGGAGACGAACGAAGCCAGTCTGGTCTACAGAGCAAGGTCCAGGACAGCCAAGGCTACACAGAGAAACCCTGTCTTGAAAAACATACACACAAAAGCAGGAGACTAAGTGGAGAAGAGATAGCAGAAGCCCAGAGCTGTGAGTTCTTAAAATGTCAAGTCTGGGTTGGGCTAAAAAGTGTTAAAAACAAAACAAAATAAACAAACAAACAAAAACCCCCAAAAAACCAGGGCTTTAGTGACCTGTGCCTGTGATCCGAATCTGGAAAAATGAGACAGGAAGACTGCAAATTTGCAGTCAATCTGGACGATATAAGTGGTACTTTGACAAACAAACAAACAAACAAACAAAACGTCATAGTGGTTCATACCTGTAATCCTGGTGCTTGGAAAGTCTGAGTCTCAAGACATCACAAGTTTGAGGCTAGCCTGGGCTATGTGGTAAATTCCAGGCCAGCCAATCAAACGAGTTTGAGAATTAGTTTGAATCACCAGAGCCCATGTAATGACCAGATGTGGGGCCTGTGCATCTGCAGTCCTGGAGTTCTGAGGAGATGGAAGGCTGACGCAGGAGACTCTCTGGAAGCTATGGGCCACATACCCTGGCACACCATTCAGAAATGAGGCCCCATCTCAAAGACGGTAGAAAGTGAAGATCAGCCTGCAAGGCTCCACCATGCCTGGCTCCCTGAACAAAAAGACAATAGATCTTAGCTGCCTGGGACTGCAGCTCAGACTGTAATTCTGTGCTACTATGTGCTTAGCATGTGTGACGCCATGGCCACCTCCCAGCACCACCAGAGAAACAAGACTGTAAAGTATTGTGAAGCAAATCAGAAGGCACACGGCCACTTGTGCATGGCCTCTGAGGTCCTCAGAAAGCAGACAAAAGTGTACCAGTGACTATCTCTAGCTAGGGCAGTGGGAGTGATGGATGATAGACATTTGAGTTTCTCTTTGTCTTTCTTTTATTTTCAAGATAGGGTTTCCTCTGTGTAGCCCTGATTGTCCTGAAACTCACTTTGTAGACCAGGCTGGCCTTGAACTCAGAGATCTACCTGCCTCTATGCACCCTAGCCTCGGCAGTGCTGGACCTTATTGCTTAGCCTGCTCAGACTGGCCTCTGACTTACGATAAACTTCCAGACTCAGTTGTCCAAAGTCCTGGGACAACTGAGCCACTATGTCTTTTTATTTATCTATTTATTTTGACAGGGTCCTGCTATGTAGTCCAGATTGTGTTTCAGAATATTTTTTTCCCACTGTGTGAAGATGTGTCACTGATTTAATTAGGAGCTGTGATTAATAAGGAGCTGAATGGCCAGTAGCTAGGCAGGAGAGAATAGGCGGAACTCAAGACGAATCTAGGCGCACTAGAGAAGCCAGCTCCGAGACATGGAGGAAGTGAGATGTACAGAATGAGAGGGAGGTAAAAAGTCATGCGACAGAAGGTAGATTAATAAAAGCAGGTTAAGTTATAAGAGCTCGTTGGGAACAAGCCTAAGCCAAAGGTCAAGCTTTCATAATTAATAATAAGTCTCCATGTCCCAAAAAAAGTCCAGCAAAAAGCTTGCTACAAGATTGGCTACAAATTTCTAGTCCTGCCTCAGCTTTCTAAGTTCCAGTTCCAGTCAGATGCCACCAAAGCCCTGCTTTTTAAACATTTATTATTGTCTCATGCATGGGTCTATGGCTGGGATAAAACGCCACTACCAAAAGCAAAACCTGGGGAGAAAGGGGTTTATTTCATCTTACCATTTATAGCTCATCATCCAGGGCAGTCAGGGTAGGATTCCAAGGCAGGGACTTGGAGGCAGGACCCGAAACAGGGGCCATAAAGGGATGCAGCTTGCTTGTTCAGTCTGCTACTTAGAGAACACAGGCCCAGATGAGGCACTGCCCACACTGGGCTGGGCCCTCCAACATCAATCATCAATAGAGAAAATGCACTAGAGGCTTACCTATAGGCCAGTAGAGTGGGGATATTTTCTGAGTTACCAAAATGACTCTAATTGGTGTCAAATAGGCATAAAACTGGTTAGCAAAATCATGCATATGTATATGAAAATGTTTGAGGGAAGATTCAAATCAGGGACCCCGGCCAGCCTCCTGACATGAATTCCACTCTGTATTTAATCCTGGGAATCACAGGATGTCAGTGCTGATGGATTGGGGGCTTCACTGCCCATCCTGCCTTACCTGACTCAGCAGTCTGAGGACAGACCGAGGTACAGCCAGTTTTATCTAAATGAAGGAAGTAAGAGCAATCAGACATGGTCCTTGCCTCAGGGCGCAGGAAGGGTGTGACTCAGAATTGAGCAACCCAGGGCCTTCCCTCTGCCTCGGTGGAGGTGAGCAGCAGTCACTGGTTCTGACTGACTGTGAAGGACCTTCTCGGCCAGTGTGGCCATACCTCTAGGAATCCTTGAACTAAAATTGTTGGAGAAGGCAAGAGGGGACAAGATTCAAGTCAACAACCCCTGGATAGTGTTACTAGGAAGGCCCAGGGCACAGCTGGGTCATTCAACAACTTCTTGTCTGAGCCCCATTGTGAACGTGTTTCAAGAACAAGCCTCTCTCCTAGTCTGGCATGACTTCCCACTGCCTGTCACGCCAACTTGCCTTGCCTTGACGTCCCTAGTTCCTTATCCTCTGGCCTTGCTGCCCTATTCCACACTTAATAGCTGTGTGACCTTAGGCAGGTTTCTTAAGCCTCTGTGCCTTGGGTTTTTTTTCCCCTCTGCAAAATGAGAAATATTCCATAGTTTTTATTTCACAGAGGTGTTCTGTAGTGATATTTTGTTTGTGTTTTAACAAATAAAGCTTGTCTGAAGATCAGAGTACAGAGCTAAGCCACCAGAGGCCAGGGAGGGTAGCACACACTTTTAATCCCAGGATTTGAAAAGCAGAGGCAGGTGAATCTGTTAGTTCAAGGCCACTCTGGTCCTGAAATTGGTCCTGTTTAAAAGAAACAGAGCTCACACAAAGGTAATTCTAGCACTTGGGATCCCACGCCTTTAATCCCAGTGTGCTAGCGCTAGCTAGCAAGGTGGAGATGGGAGTGATATGGCTGGGCGGAGAAAGGACTATAGGGGAGAGGAAACAGGAGCTCAGTGCAGTCTGAGGCAGTAGTCTGAGCATCTGTCAGGATGCAGTGTGAGGACAGGACCGCCCCTTCGGTCTGAGCATTGGTAGAGGTAAGACCTAGTGGCTCCTGCCCTGCTTCTCTGATCCTTCAGTTTTCACCCACGATAGCTGACTCCAAGTTTTTATTATTAAGACCAATTAGAATTTGTGCTAGAGTCCAGTACTGATTAACCATGCCCAGCTCACGTGAAGCCTTGTTTGCTATAATTCACATTATTTGTATTTACTGCTTTAATTTTGGGTCACATTTGTGGGGCCCACATGCCACCATGAGTGTGGAGGTCAGGATGGTTTGCAGGAGCTGGTTCTTTCCCACTGTGCAGGTCCTGGCAATTGAACTTCAAGGCCTCCTGAACTGTCTCACCTGCTCTTAGATGAAGAGGCTGACCTGCCATCTCCTGAGTGCTGGGATTCCAGGCCTGCACCACCACAGCTCCATTGCTGGTATTATTACCTCGTATCATATCAACTATCAGATGTCATCAAGTGTAAAAAAAAATGCCACTAAGGAGAAAGTTAACCATGCCCCAGGCTCTTCCTCACTAGGATGTTTCTATATTTCCCAGGAGACCAGCTTCCTGATTAGATGCAGGCTCACATCACATAGAATTCTGATGCACACGCACACAGGATGATAGCATCAAGATGAATGGGTGAACGCAGTGGCAGAGTTCCCATGGAGAGGAGAGGCCTACGATCACTTCTGTTGTGAGTCCTTATGTCTGTTTCCTGGCTGCTTCCCACTCGGGGACATGCAGAATACTCCATAGAGCTACACTTCAAACAGGTCGTACCAGCTGGGGGGGCTTGGGAGCCAGACTTCTCTGTTGGGATGCTGGGAGTAACTCAGATCAGCCAGGTCCCTCCCGAGGGCGCTCCCACCATTTGCAGGGCCTCAGGGTCCTCTTCTAAGTGGCTCACACCTCCTCTCCAGAAACCGCTGAAGCTGAGATGTTGGAAGTGTGGGCTTGTGCCTGCAATGACAGCTCCGTCAGGACTGAAGCCAGCTGAAGGGCAACAGCACCTTGCCACCTGATTTCAGAATGCCGGCTGTGGCAAACAAGACATGAGTAGTTCCTGATCTCTGCCTCTGGCTGTCTCCACGCATTCGTGCATTGATTCCTTGAACATCTTTCCTCTCAGTAGGCTGTGAACTCAGCACAAATCTCCTACCTCCTCAGGAAGGGCTTCCCCAATTGTCCCGGGAAAGCACTTTGTAGGGCTACAATGTCATATTTTGTGTGACTATTATCACCATAATTTTAAATTTATTTTTGAGGCAGGGTCTCTTTAAATAGCCCTGATGGTCCTGGAACTCACTGTGTAGGCTTTGAACTCACAGAGATCCACCTGCCTCTGCCTCCCAAGTGATGGGATTAAAGGCGTGCTCCCGGGCCCAGCATCATCATTATTTGGGGAGACAGTCTCTCACTAAGTTGGTTTAGCTGGTCTAGAATTCACTGTAGGTAGTCCAGCATGCTCTTGAGCTCCTGATTCTCCTGCCTCCACCTCCCACATGCTGGAATTACAGGCGTGTATCACCACACCTGGTTTATAAGATGAACTCAGGTCCTTGTGCATGATGAGCAGGCACTTGACCGAGCGAGCCACATCTCTGTGTTGTGTTGCTTCCCTTTAAGAAGTTTACAGCTGGGACAGTCAGGCGGTGGTGGCGCACATCTTTAATCCCGGCACTCGAGAGGCAGAGGCAGGTGGATCTCTGTGAGTTCGAGGCCAGCCTGGTCTACAAGAGCGAGTTCCAGGACAGGTTCCAAAGCTACAGAGAAATCTTGTCTTGAAAAAGAAAACAAAACAAAACACCCAAAAAAACAAAAGCATTTGGGGAACTGAGGCTGGCAACTGAGGCTCCTGGTCCACAGCCATTTCTCAGTGTAGTATATACTAAGTATAGCTGGGTCAGTGTCCACTCTCGCTGGCCGGGACAGGCAGCACCTGCAGCAGGCGTCGGGGTTTGAGATGAATTGCCATGAGGCTGAAGGGAAGAAGGAGATGTGGCACTACACTCAGACTCCATGACAAAGCCAGAGCCTCTTTAGTGAGCAGAGTGCCAGGCTGAGGTCACCCTCTCTCTCCTAGAGAGGAAAGGACTCGCTATCATTGCCACGGAGTCTGGAACCCTGAAGGCCTCCCCTCATCTAGTCTTATCTGAGACCCAGGAAGATTCTGTGTGTGTGTGTGTGTGTGTGTGTGTGTGTGTGTGTGTGTGTGTGTGTGCGTGTGTGCTGCTGAGGCAGGACACGTAGCCCGGCAGAACCCCGGAAGAAGGAAGCTGTACAGGGTCTGTGGCTGGGCCCCTGGGATCCCCCAGCCGGGGACTTCCTCTTCCTCTCAGAGCAGGTGTAGCTGCCACAGCGTGACAGGGACTACACCCTGACCCCCAACATGGAGGGGGCCAAGGGGCCTAGACTCAAAGACTTCCTGAGTGGGAGTCTGGCCACCTGGGTGAGGATCAGGTGGGAGGGCTGGGTGAGGAAGTGAGTGTCAGCACAGACTGAGGGCTGGGGGCGGGTGGCTGGGGGGTGTAGTGTCTAGTAGGCGGAGGAGAGTGAGGCGGAGAGAGTCTAGGATCTGGGACCAGAGGCACTCAGGGGCACTGGTGAGGAGAGGGATCCTGTGCTGGGGCAGACGAGGGGCTCAGGATGGATTTACTGGTTGCTGGGAGTGTCCACCTCTTCATCCAACCTCTGCTGTTTGGCCCGACAGGCGCTGGGACTGGCTGGGCTGGTGGGGGAGGCAGAGGAATCAGCGGGGACAGAGGAGGAGGATAAGGGGCCTCTTTGTACAGAGAAGAGATTCCTGCAGCTGAGTGATGGGGCCTTACTCCTTCGGGTGCTGGGCATCATGTAAGTGACATGGGGGCGGGGGAGGCGGGTCTGAGGGAAGCGGGGGAGGCGGGTCTGAGGGGGGGGGAGGCGGGTCTGAGGGGAGGTGGCTGCGGAATGGTGGGAGGACCCTGACGGTGGAGGGTAAGGCTTGGGGGTGGGTGGGTCCTCCAACCAACCTCTCACCCCTGTTCCCTGGGTGGCCACAGTGCTCCTAGTTCCCGAGGAGGAGGTCTTCGGGTGATCAGGAGCCATGATGGTCCTGCAGCCTGTCGGATGTGGAACCTCCATCATCTGTGGGGGCGACTGAGAGATTTCTATCAGGTAAGGCATTGGGAAGCCCCGACAAGGCAAGCCCTTGTGAAGGTGGCTTTCTTACTGTTGGCCCCGTTCTAGGAGGAACTGCAGCTGCTGATCCTGTCACCGCCCCCAGACCTTCAGACACTGGGGTTTGACCCCCTTTCAGGTGCTGTCTCCTCAGGTGGTGTTGCCTTCTGCCCTCTGTCCCTGCCCTGTGCCCCCCCCTTAACCCCTTGTGGCTTGTGCCCAACAGAAGAGGCAGTGGACGAGTTGGAAGGCATCCTTCGGCTGTTGTTGGGGGCCTCCGTGCAGGTGAGGAGGGGAAGGGAGAACAGAATGGAGTTTGGGCGGGAGGAAGCCCCCTGTGTGCCAGCTTTGGTCCTCCTGTCTACCGCAGTGTGAACATCGGGAGCTCTTCATCCGTCACATCCGGGGCCTGAGTCTTGATGTCCAGAGCGAACTGGCCACTGTAATCCAAGAGGTACTGATGCAGTCTAGAAGTGATACCGTCTAGGGGTCTTGGCTGGGTTCGTTTTCTCTGCTAGTTAAAGAATTACAGGTAGGAAAGATCTGAAGGGCTCCAGGTGGCAGCAGAGAAATCTCACGCAGTTAAGAAAGGCATTTATTGGGGTGAGCGAACACACGCAGCAGGACACACAGAGCAAAGCCCGGGGCTTTACAGCCTCTGAGGAGTCCTGCTCCCCTATTTTAGGGCTGGTCATTTGAAGACCGATGGGAGAGCTGACTGGTCTGAAACTGTTGTGTGGCATGTCCTGATCAGGCCTTGAACTTGTTGAGTCAGAATCAGCAGGGGCCTGCTGGTGGGAGGCAAAAACTGCCAGGCTTTTGTCTCAAATCAGGAGGTTGAGGGAAAAGATGGCTAGTTTGGAAATTTGCCACCACCTTTATTACCTAGTCATGGCTCCTCTCCCAGTCTGTCTGCCTGACTCCTTGGTCTCTCAGTACTGTGGTGGGTGGCATGTGGGACTATCACGACCACTGAAGTGACCCTCACCACCCTTCTGATGAATTGTTCTCCATGCCCACAGGTGACCCAGCCTGGTGCTGGTGTAGTACTGGCTCTGGCTGGACCAGAGTCTGGAGAGCTGGTGGCTGTGGAGTTGGAGATGCAGTTACGGAACCTGATGGGGACGATGTCCAGGCTGGTGCGAGAACGTGATCTGGAGGCACAGGTAGGGAACAGGCAACAGTCACACGGAGCTGAGCAGGGGGATGGGGTTCGGAGCCAGTCATAACCGCGGGTGATTCTGTGGGAATTGGAAGGCTTACGTGCAGAGGTTTTGGAAGGCGCCTCTTGACCTTTGCCTTCCCTCCAGCGGTTGGCTGAACTGCTTCTGGAGCGGGAGCCAGCCCGCTTGCTGTTGCCAGAAGCTCCTGCTAATGCTTCTGCGGAGGGTCCCTCACACCATCTGGCTCTGCAGCTGACCAACGCCAAGGCCCAGCTGAGACGACTGCGGCAGGAGGTGTGAGTGTCTGTAGGCTGGGGAAGGGGTCAACCTGGGGGCGCGATAGGGCCCAGGTGCGGGTTTGCGGCTGGCAGACACTCTCCATCACTGCATCCCTTTAGGGAGGAGAAGGCGGAGCTGCTGCTGGACTCCCAAGCAGAGGTGCAGGGCTTGGAGGCTGAAATTCGAAGGCTCCGCCAGGAGGTGCGCTCCAATGTCCCCCACTACTGTCCCCTCCCCATCGTGGTCCCATTTCTCCCAGCTGCCCCTCATCCCTTTGTCCCGTGGCTGGCTGATCCTAGTTTCACACCATTTGGATCAGGCCCAGGCACTGTCCGGACAAGCCAAACGCGCCGAGCTCTACCGCGAGGAGGCAGAGGCACTGCGCGAGCGGGCCGGCCGCCTGCCACGCCTGCAGGAGGAGCTGCGGCGCTGTCGTGAGAGGCTGCAGGCAGCCGAAGTCTTCAAGGGCCAGCTGGAGGTGAGGTGGGGGCGGAGCTGTGGGCGGAGCACGCTGGGTCGTGGTCTGGAGGCGGGGCGTGCAGGAGGAGACTGGCCAAGGGAGGAGTGGGTCCAACTTTTGTTGGGGAGACCTTGATAGCAGGAAGAAATGGGTGAGTATAAGGCAGTTGGAGTCTGAGACAAACCCTTTAGGATGGGAGAAGAGGAGACTATGGAAGGGCAGGTTTTGAAGGATGGGGCTGCGGGGAGAGCTGAGGAGTCTGCAGTGAGACCCTAACAGGAAGGGGTACTGATAAGTGTGGTCTGGAGGGATGTGGCCTTGGAAGGAAGTTCTGGAGGGGGTACGGGAGGGTGGGTCAGGAGCTTGGGAAGGGTACCTGGGGAGACTCTGGAGAGAGCTGCAGATGGAGGGAAGAGGTAGAGAAAAGGAGGCAGGGTCTGAGGCTGTCCCTGTAGAAGGAATCGGGAACTGCCAGGTGCTGAAGAGCGTAGGGATTGCGGCTCACCACGTATCCTCCCTGCTTTTCTACCAGGAGGAGCGGGTGCTTTCTGGGGCCCTGGAGGCCTCCAAGGCAATGCTGGAGGAACAGCTGGAGGTGGCCCGAGAGCGCTCGGCAAGGCTGCATGAGACCCAGCGGGAGAACCTGCTGCTGCGCACGAGGCTGGGCGAGGCCCATGCGGTGAGCTAGGTTGACCCGATCATCTGTTCGTTGTTCCTGTTCTCCCATGACCCCGGTGATGCTCGCTCAGCTTTTCTCGAAGTGGTTTCTGTGCTTGTTGGGACACCAAGACTTGCACATTTGGCCTGGGCCAGATGAAGAAGGCTGCCCTGACCCCATTCCTCCACACCGCAGGAGCTGGACTCTCTGCGGCATCAGCTGGAGCAGTTGGTGGAGGAAAATGTGGAGCTGGAGCTGGAGCTTCAGAGGGGCCTGGAGCCACCCCCAAGCTCCCCTGGGGAGGGTAAGTGGGGCCTAGGGGTGGGGGTGAGGGTCTGGGGTGGAGGCAGACTATGAGTTGGGAGGACTTGTTTTCATGGCCTTACTAGGTCTGAGAGGCGTTGATAGGGAGTCAGGGAGGGTGGGTAGAGTCCTGACATGACCACATCCCTAGCCCCCCTAGCCCCCCTACCCGGAACAGCACCTTCACTGCACGATGAGGTGAGGGAAGCGGAGGCTGGGCGGCTAAGGACAGTGGAGCGGGAGAATCGGGAGCTTCGAGGCCTGCTGCAGGCGCTCCAGGAGCAGCTTGGCAGTCAGGTAGGTCCCTCCAGCATCCTTATCCCTGCTGGTTACCACCCTGAGCCCTAGCCTAATGCTCCCTACACTGTCTCTCTCTCATATGTCCTCAGCACCCTCTGCTGGAGGAGCAGAGCAAGGACTCCGTGCTGGCTGTGCTCAATGGGGCTTCCTCAACTCCCCTGACCCCAGATCACAACCTCAAAAACTGGGCTTGTCAGAGGGGAGATGAAGGCTCTGAATCCTTGGACCCGGCTTCCTCGGCGACAGACTCTGACATCACAAGATCACCTGAGTGTCCCCAGGAGCCTGATTCACACCCGGAGGAGATGGAGAGTTCTTTTAAGATGATTTCTCAGGATCCCCAGACCTCAGCCCTAACTCCTCAAGAATCAGACCCTACTGCGGAGACACATGGGTCTCCGGAGAAGACCAGCCACAGAGTCTCTCTCCAGGGCCCCATTGTCTTGGCCCCACCACAGGGTCCAGAGATGAGAACTGAGGTGCAGGAGACTGGAAACAGGGAGGTTCTCCAAGGGGAACTGGTGCCTGAGGCCCAGGTCCCGAAACAGGAGAGTCCTCAGTGCAGGCCCAGATCTTCAGAGTTCAAACTCCGGGAGCCGCGGAAGGATCAGGAGACGCTGGATCAGGAGGGGCTAGAACCGCCCAAGCATCAGGCAGAGACAGGAGAGCATGGACAGAGGCCCAAGGGGCTGGTCAGTTCACAAGTCCCTCAGAAACCGCCGCAGACATCAGAAGAGGCTCCCGATGCCTGGTTCAGGGAGGAGTCAATCCTAGGAGAGACCCTGGTCTGTGCTGTCCCAGAGGAGCAGGCCCTCAGAGAGGAGGTGGCACAATTAAGAAGGGAGGTTGTGGACCTTGAGGCTAAACTACAGGCCCAGGCCCAAAGACTGGAGGCCCGAAGTGCAGAGGCCTTCTGCCTCTCTGAGGAGCTGGCCCAAGCACGCAGAGCAGAGGCAGAGGCACACCAGGAGGCAGAGACCCAGGCCCGGGAGCAGGCCCGTCTGCGTGAAGCCCTGGACACAGCTAGCCTGGAGCTGGAAGCTGCGTCTCGAGAACGGGAGGCACTGGCAGAGGCACTAGCAGCTGCAAGCCGTGAGCGAAGGCAGTGGGAACGTGAGGGGCCCAGGCTGCGGGCTCAAGCTGAGGCCGCTGAGCAGCAGGTGCAGACTCTGGAGAGCCAGGTCCGTCGTCATCTGGAGGAGGTGGAGAGGGAGCATCTGGAGAACCAAGACCTCAGGGAGGTATGTTGGGTACGGCAGTGGGTCAGGGAAATGAGGAGCTGGGCTGGTTTCTGGGATGTACATTGTGGGTTCCTTCACGGCACTGAGATGGGATGGAAGGTCGGAAGTCCAGGCCGCTCTTGATGCTGCAGGATGCAGCTGATGGCCAGTCCTTGATGGGGTAGACTACAGGAGGAACTCACAGCCAGTCTGCGGTCTATCCTGCACTCAGTTGTGATAGTCTCTGCCCTTTTGCCCTGGCCCCCCCTCCTGTATAAAACAAGGATGTTGTGCCTTGCAGCCCTCATAGTCTTTGGCAGACCAGGATAATTGTGGCAAGCACTTGGCTTATACCTGGCCAAGGCCTGCTGTAAGTGACCGAACAGTGGTTCCTCAGGAGCTGGATATGGGGTTCATTTTGTAGAGAGCTTGCCTGGCAGGCACAAAGTCTCAGGTCCACGTAAACTAGGCATGGTGACACATGCGTGTCATCTCAACACTCAGGATGTGGAGGCAGGAGGATTAGAAGTTCAAGGCCTTTGTTCTAGTTTGCTTTTCTGTTGCTGTGTTAAGCACCATGACCAAAAAAAAAAAGCAAGTTAGGTAGAAAGTCAGGGCAAAAATTCAAAGCCAGAACCTGGAGGCAGGAACTAAATGAAGCTGAGGCTGGGAAAGGGCCCTGCTTATTGGCTTCTCTTCATAACTTACTCACTCTTTTTTCTTTTTTTTTCCCTTTTTTTTTGGAGGGGGGGACAGGTTTCTCTTTAGCTTTGGAGCCTGTCCTTGAACTTCCTCTGTAGACCAGGCTGGCCTCAAACTCACAGAGATCCACCCGTCTCTGCCTCCTGAATACTGGGATTAAAGGCGTGCGCCACCACTGCCCGGCTGCTTACTCACTTTCTCTATAACTCAGGACAATCTGTCCAGGATGGCACCACTCACAGTGGGCTGGGTTCTCCCACATTAATCATTAACCAAGAAAATGCCTCCCAGACTTCCTCCAGACAATCTGACAGAGGCGTTTTCTCCGTTGAGGCTCCTGATCTCAGATGAGTGACTTGTGTTAGGCTGCAGCACAGAGATCCTTGACTATATGATGAATTGGAGGCTAGCCTGGGCTACATGAGACTCTGTCCAGAGAGAAAACAAAAACAGTTACTAGAAATGAAGCGCCGCAGAGTACCCAGGAGGGTGTGGAATGCCCGTCTGGGTGGGAGGGGCCTCCAGGGAAGGTCACCAGGATTCCACTTCATGCTGAGAGCCTAAGAGCTGTACTGAGGAGGGCATTGGAGATGCCGGGGGACCCAGAAAATGTCACAGTTGCACGGGACGCCTCAGGGGTTGAGTTTGAGGAGGGTCACCTTGGTGGATGGGAACCTGAGCCCCTTAAGAGGCAATGACAGTGGTAGCCATGGCAGGTAAGGCAGACAGGAGCACAGGGCCAGTGATGGAGGGGAGAGAATGTCTAGGAAGGCTTTCATTCATTTATCCATTCACATCCTTCGTGAGGTCAGGCCATGTGCTCAGTGATGACCAGGTGGGGGAAGACAGGACAGTGCAGGGGACCATGGGTCCATACTGGATACACCAGGGAAGGCTTCCCGGAGGAGGCTGGGAGGAGGAGATCCCATGGGTCCATGCTGGATACACCAGGGAAGGCTTCCCGGAGGAGGCTGGGAGGAGCAGATCCCATGGGTCCATGCTGGATACACCAGGGAAGGCTTCCCGGAGGAGGCAGGGAGGAGCAGATCCCCATGTGAGTTAGAGATGTCAGGAGAGGTGAGGCTGAGGAGGAATTAAGCAGGGTTCTTGTTGGGTGTGGTGAAAGCTTCCTTCTGTGCCGAGGGAGAGGCTGGGGCTTTTTGTGAGTGAATGGTACCTCTGGAGGTTGGAGACCAAAATGGTCATCCCCCACTGGGAGACGAAGCCAGGGGCAGCAGGAGGCAATGGCAAGGGTGGGGGAGCTGTGGGCTGGGAACTGGGTGCCCCAGTGTGAGGAGTTTGCCAGGGCACAGGCAAGACACTGAGGCTCAGAGAAAAAAACACCTTGCATGGACCCCTCCCCGTGGTGAGGACAGGGAGCAGGATTGGGGGGCTGGTTGACACAAGTTGAGCACTGCCCAGGGTAGCTATGGGGGTGATCCATAGGGTAGTGAGAACTGATGCACATGAGCCAATGAAGAGAGAGGGTCTCTCTGGGGTACATACTGTAGGATGGGGCCCGGAGATCTGTCAGTAAAGAACTGCATGGTGTCTCAGCTGAGCCCCCCATCATTAGCTGTGTGGCTTGGAGCAGGTTACTTCGGAGTGTCATGTTCCTCATCTCTGAAGTGGAAACAAAACTGCCCGGCCCTCCTGTGGTGGTGCCTGCCTGCAGACCTGCCCTTGGGAGGCTGAGGCAGGAGGATTGAGAGTTAGAGGCCAGCCTGAGCTGTGTAGCAGAGACTCTGAGGATAAAGAGGAGGCTAGATGGGGTAGTGCACACCTTTAATCCCAGTACTTGGGGGTGGGTAGAGGCAGGCAGACAGATCTCTGCCAGTCTAAGGTTAGCCTGGTTCATAATGACAGGAATACATAGAGATACCCTGTCTCAGAAATAGATAACCAAGGAGGGAGAATAAAAAAGTTAACCAGGGGTGGGGGGCAGAGAGAGAGAGAGAGAGAGACAGACAGACAGACAGACAGACAGACAGACAGACACGAGAGGAAAACCAAAAACTCTTCCTGTCTGAAAGGCTCTCATAAAACAATGTGTGGCAAGAGCTTAGGGTGTGTCTGGCTTCTAGTACACGTTTGCTTTTTGGGGAGACAGACTGGTGGTAGATAGGCTGGCAGTGAGGGCAAGGGCAGGCCTGGAAGAGCTGACTCTGAGGACGTAGTGTGGAAGAGACTGGGGGTGGAGAGAATCGGGATGATTTCCTGACTGGAACACTTCTGGGCACTGCCTGGATGTGGCACGGAAGGAGTTGACTAGCAAAGCAGACAGGAAAGGGGTCCTGTGCCAGGCGGTGGTGGCACACGCCTTTACTCCCAACACTTGGGAGGCAGAGGCAGATGAATCTCTGTGAATTTGAGGCCAGCCTGGTCTACAAGAGCTAGTTCCAGGACAGCTAGGGCTGCAGAGAGAGAGAGAGAGAGAGAGAGAGAGAGAGACAAGGGGGGGGTAATCCTGAGGCTTTTAGGTGGGCATGGAGGCCTCTTGGACTGGGCAGAGGGGCACTTGGTGGGGCTATAGCCAGAACAGGGAGTGGGCAGGGCCCTGGTCTCCACTAGTCTCCATTTCATCTGCACTACAATTCTCTTATCTCTAGCAGTACCAGGGCCCTAGTTGCCAGCCAGACAGCAAGGCCTTATGGGAATTGTAATTTTCTCCTCCTCTTTTTTTTTTCTTTCCCAAGACAGGGTTTCTCTGTGTAGCGTTGGCTGTCCTGGAACTCATTCTGTAGGCCAGGGTGGCTTTGAACTCAGAGATCCGCCTACCTCTGCCTCCTGAGTGCTGGTTACAGAAGTGTGCCGCCACCGCCTGGCTGAATTGTGGGTTTTCACCCCGAAACCATGCCGACATCTGTTGGGAACTGCAGAGCCCAGTGAGGACGTAGAGAGCTGTTAGCTAGGCTAGGACGATGGCTCAACAGCAGTTTTGGTTTCAGAGGCCGGGTGTGGCCAGGGGCCGGTACACTCACCTTTGTTTAGCTTTATCTTCTAGGGTCCCCGGGAGTCAGAATGGTTTGGCCTCCCTCCCCTACCCTTGGAATGTTGTGGCCCAACTGCCAAATGCCACAGCCCTGACCCGACCTCTGTGGCCCTGCGCTGTGGTTATGCCCGAGACCCTGAGTTCCTATTCTGACTGCTCTCAGTAGCCAGCCCTCTGTGGTGGAGGGTGTTCTGCAGGCCTATCTCCATTGAACCCCTGCACATGGCTGGTGTGGCAGCTCGCGGGGCTCCTCAGCCTCCTGAGTACATGAGAAACTCTGGGCTTAAAGAGGTGAAGCCACTTGCTTACTGTGCATCTCAGGGGCTGCTTCCACACCCTACCAGAGTTAGGGGCTCACGCCTTTCATATCCATTCTGCAATGCCACCACACCCCATTTCCAGGTCTTTTATACAAGATCTCACATCGAGCCTAGACCTCATTATGTAGCCCAGGCTGGCCTTAACTTTGCAGTCATCTTCCTGCCTCAGCTTCCTGAGTGCTGGTGTTACAGATGTGAACCACCATGCCCGCTAGATGGGAACACAGAGATCCAAAGGATTAAAGACCTTTGCCAGGGTAAACAGAGCAAGGCAGAGAACAGGAGGACCCCTTCTCAGTCCTGTCTCTAGCTCTCCTCTGTCTCTGGGGGACAGGTGTGTTCCCCATTTTCATCCCCACCTGCTGAGCCTGCCCTGCCTGCCCCCAGGAGCTAGAGAAGGCTGTGGTACGGGGCCAGGAGCTGGGGGCCCGGCTGGAGCATCTGCAGCGAGAGCTGGAACAGGCAGCCTTGGAGCGCCAGGAGTTCCTTAGAGAACAGGAGAGCCAGCACCAGAGGTGGGCACAGTGGCTGGGGACAGGGAGGGACAGGGAAGTGAGGACTGGGTGTTCAAGGTTTTTCCTGGTAGGTACCAGGGCCTGGAGCAGCAACTGGAAGCTGAGCTGCAGGCAGCGACAACCAGTAAGGAGGAGGCATTGATGGAGCTCAAGGCCCGAGCCCTGAAGCTGGAGGAGGAGCTGATTCAGGTAAGGTTGTCCTGGGAACTGAGGTGCCAGCCCCTTGCCCCAACCTGGGAGTGGACAACCAGGGCTGCCAGGACTCAGGTCTTACCTCTGAATTGGTGGCTAGCTGCTCAGCTCATATGCTGGTGGGGCTGCTTCCTCCATTCCTTAAGTGGATGGAGCCTCTTGGGGTGACTGCTCTGCTTTTTCTTGGGCTCCAATACTCCCCTATGAGTGCGAGACACCTGTTATCCATGTCCCTGCAGCTGCGACAGTACCATGTGGGGCTGGCGACAGAGGTGAGAGCTGAGCCTCCGACTGTGGAGACCCAGAGTGGCCGGCTCATCGAGGTGGAGCGAAGTGTGAGTTGATAGAGTGGGGACTACCCAGGGGATGGGAGGACTGGCCACTTAGCCACTGACACCCTTTTCTGGCAGAATGCCACACTGGTGGCCGAGAAGGCGGCTCTGCAGGGGCAGCTGCAGCACCTGGAGGGGCAGCTAGGGAGCCTGCAGGGCCGGGCACAGGAGCTCCTGCTACAGAGTCAGCGGGCACAGGAACACAGCAGCCGCCTGCAGGTGGGTGGCAGCCTGGGGCCATCGTCCCCTCCCCATTTGTGTCATTTTGGGCCCTTTCCCGTACTCTAGCCTGCTGCCCCACCTGTTTCCACAGAACTTGTCCTCTGACCTCAGCCATCCCAGTCTGTCCCTATCTGTCCCTGTTTCCATTCCCCGTCACCTCACCCTCTCAGCCTTCTCTTCCATCCTAGCTGTTAGCCTTCACTGCCTTTCCTATTGTCTACCCATCGATCCCATCCCTGTGTCGGGCTTCTTGCACGGCCCAGCTTTTCCATGCCACCATGATGCCTCTCTACCGCATTTAACCTCTTCCTGTTCTTCAGCTGTCCCTCTGCTTCCTCCGTATGCCCTCTGGTCTCAGGTTATGCCCCTTACTTCTTCTGGGCGGGGTGCCTACTGCCCTGGTTCTGCCCATTTGCTTCACCCTAGGCTGAAAAGTCTATGATGGAGATGCAGGGCCAGGAGTTGCACAGGAAGTTGGGGGTGCTAGAAGAGGAGGTGCGGGCAGCAAAACGGGCCCAGGAGGAGACTCGTGGGCAGCAGCAGGCTTTGCTTCGAGACCATGAGGCCCTGGCCCAGCTGCAGCGGAGACAAGAGACCGAGCTGGAGGGACTGCTGGTACGGCACCGAGATCTCAAGGCCAATATGCGCGCGCTGGAGCTGGCCCATCGTGAGCTGCAGGGCCGGTAAGACTCCCCAAGTGCCACTTCTCTCCCTAGCATGGCCACTTGCCTGTCTCCCTCATTAGGTTTGACCCAGGGGGTAATTCCATACTTTGAATATCTACCCTATTGCTGATCGGTTTGGGGTGTGGGCTCCCCGACTTTGAGGCTAGGAACGGTAGCACCTGGCATGCTGTTCTGCTTTTGGGGGCTTTGCTGGGGTGTAGTGCTTATGCTTAGGGGGTCAGATTTCCTGATCGCCACAATGCAGTGCCTACTTGCCAAGGCTGAAGTCCCCTACAGCCCTTTGGGCCTTGTCCATATAGGCATGAGCAGTTACAGGCCCAGAGGGCCAGTGTGGAAGCACAAGAGGTGGCCTTACTGGCTGAGCGTGAGCGCCTGATGCAGGATGGGCAAAGGCAGCGGGGCCTGGAGGAGGAGCTGCGGAGACTTCAGAATGAGCACGACAGGTACCAGCTCTGGTTTAGGCCTGCCTCCCACTCCGCATATCAGCATTCCCACAGGCGACGTGGGTTGGGGTGGGTTAGTCACTGCCCACTGTGTGTTCTGCTTCGTCTCCACTCCGTGGGTGTGGCCCTCCTGGCTCTTGGAGAGCAGTTGTCTTTGCTTCTAAAGAGCTCAGAAGCTGCTGGCTGAGGTGTCTCGCGAGCGAGGGGAGCTCCAGGGTGAACGTGGGGAACTGCGGGGCCGCCTGGCGAGACTGGAACTGGAGCGGGCACAGCTGGAGATGCAGAGCCAGCAGCTGCGTGAGTCCAACCAGCAGCTGGACCTGAGCGCCTGTAGGCTGACAACACAGTGCGAGGTGTGACACAGTGTTAGGGCCGCCTAGGGAGGCCAAGGCAGGCAAGCCAAGCTGGGACAGTCTCGAGCCAGGTATTCATCCTGGCCTTGCTGCTGCCGCCCGCAGCTGCTGACCCAGCTTCGCAGCGCCCAGGAGGAAGAGAACAGGCAGCTGCTAGCTGAGGTACAGGCCCTGAGCCGGGAGAACCGAGAGCTGCTGGAGCGCAGTCTGGAGAGTCGCGACCACCTGCATCGAGAGCAGCGAGAGTACCTGTGAGCATGCGCAGAATCAGGGCCACGCCCCCTGGTCCTTCAGGGAGCAAACCCACCACCTCCACCCCGCCCAGGTCCTAGGAAAAGATCCCAGGCATAGGGGAGTTTTATCTGCAAAGTGGTTGCCCTGGGTTACACCCGTTTTGCCAGGGCTTTGCCGGGATTTCTGTGAACCCATTCTCTTCTCTTCCTACCAGGGACCAGCTTAACGCCTTACGCAGGGAGAAGCAGAAGCTGGTGGAGAAAATCATGGACCAGTACCGCGTCCTGGAACCTGGGCCCCTGCCCCGCACCAAGTGAGGCCCCACCTTCTGAAATGGGATCCTGCTAACCTTTGCCCTGTCCTACCCTCTGACCCCTCGTTCCCTAAAAGCCAGGCTGGGATGCAGGTCTTAGTGAGGGTTTTCCTGGCCCTTTTTATCCCCTGACACGACTCTCCTTTCCCTCCTTCTCCTGTTCCCTTATCCCTTCTTATGCCCTCTTGCCCCCAGGAAGGGCAGCTGGCTGGCAGACAAGGTGAAGCGGCTGATTCGGCCCCGGCGGGAGGGGGCCCTCCATGGGGGGCCGCGCCTGGGGGCCGATGGGGCTGGCAGCACGGAGAGCCTGGGGGGCCCCCTGGAGACGGAGCTCCCTGAGGGCAGGGAGGCAGATGGGACAGGTGGGTTTGAGGGCCTGGTGACCAGGATGCCCCTATCCCATGTCTCCCATCCTTGGCATCTCCTTACTATCTGGCCTGCACATGTGCCTCCGAGACTTTTCCTGCTACCTGCCTCCAACCTGCCTTGATGATGTTGACTGCTCTCTCTCTGGGCCTGCGGAGTCCCCTGCCTGCCTCCTCCTTTCTACTTATATTGCCACCTCCCCATTTCTACACAACCCACACCAAGCCTAAGACCTCATAGCAGCAGGGCACATTAGGGAAGGGACATACATATCCTTGATGGTACAAAAGGAACCTGAGGACCAGATAGGGGGAGGTGCCTTGCCCATGGCCACACAGGAGCTATTGTGTGAGCCAGCAACACACTGGCCAGGCTCTTCTGCCAGGTCCCTTCTCTCCTACACTCTGCTCCTCTTTCTGCCCTGTGCAGCTTCACCCACTGGCTCTCTGTTTGACTGGCCTCTCCCTGTACTTTGATGACATCCAACCCCTCCACATATGCCTCTCACAGGGTCCTCGTCACCGGCACCCATGCGCCGTGCCCAGAGCTCTCTCTGCTTGGGAGATGAGACCCTGGCAGGTGCGCAGCGGCGGAGACTCAGCTCCCGGTTTCCTGTCGGGCGAAGCTCTGAGTCATTCAGTCCAGGGGACACCCCAAGGCAGCGATTCCGACAGCGCAGGCCAGGCCCCCTGGGGGCACCCAGTGCCCATAGCAAAGGTGAGATATAGAGTCCCTGAATATGAGCCCCCATCATCCTCCAGTGGACCCAGCCCCTTTGGGGAGGAGATTCATTCCTGTTAGTCTCTGTGTCCTGTGTACCTGGCACCATGGCCCAGTGGCTACCTTTTGATTCCCAGGATCTGGTGTGGAATGGGATGGCTCCATTAAGACCCTCCCGGAACATGAAACAGATGCCAGTCGAGAGGGTGAGTTGGGGGGTTGCTGGCAAGTCTTATCACCAATTCTCTCTTCTGATGGGGAAGGATACCTTACCAAACACCAGATGGTACACTCCTGGGGATATGGCAGAGAGCATTTTGGTGTAGGGAGACAGACAGCAAACACTGCCTGAAAATACCCACTGTCTACAACAGCCTGCCCTGATAGCAATACAGTGTGAACAGGGTATAACCACTGTCTACCGCAGCCTGCACTGATAGCAATACAGTGTGAACAGGGCATAACCACTGTCTTCCCACAGCCTGCACTGATAGCAATACAGTGTGAACAGGGTATAACCACTGTCTACTGCAGCCTGCACTAATAGCAATACAGTGTGAACAGGGCATAACCACTGTCTACCGCAGCCTGCACTGATAGCAATACAGTGTGAACAGGGCATAACCACTGTCTCCCACAGCCTGCACTGAGAGCGATGCAATGTGAACAGGGCATGTGTGGCACATGCCGGTCATCCCAGGAGTTGGGAGGCTGAGGTAGAAGGATTGAAAGGTCAAGCCCAACCTAGACTCTATGACAAGACCCTGTCTTTAAGGAAAAAAAAATACATTGTTGTGAGCTACGTGTGTATTTTTTCTTCCTTTTTAGCAGAAAACAAAGAGAGACAGGGACAAGGCTTTTAATGACATGACCCATTTAACTCTGTCTGCCTAGACAATTACCACTTTCAATGTGTACGCAGTACAAAGAATTACAAATGAGATTTTCTTTTTAACATTATTTTACTTTTTGAGACAGAGTCTCACTGTGCAGCCCGGCTGGTCCAGAACTTACTATGTAGACCATAGTTTGAAGCCAGGCTCAGACTCGAAAAGATCTGCCTGTCTTTGCCCCATGAGCGCCAGGGTTACAGGCATGATCCACCATGTCCAGCTCAAGACTTTCCTTTCTTTTCTAGGTTAGCTTTGAACTGATTCTCCTGCCTCCACCTACCCTGCGCCTGACTATGCCTTACTATTTGCTTTGTTCTTTTGACACAGTCTTCTTATATAGCCCAAGATGGTTCAGAACTCACTGTGTAGCCCAGGCTGGCCACAAATGTGTGGCAATCCTCCTGCCTCAACTTTCTAAGTTCTGGGATAAAAGTTGTGCATCACCACACCCATTATTTTTTTCATACTAAGTTTTTAAAGTCTGTCAAGCTTTTCACATGTAGGCATGTAACAGTGAGGGCTGGGAGAGGCTCAGCCCAGCATGTCAGGAGTACTATAGTCCTGGGGAAGAAGTGTGTGTGTGTGTGTGTGTGTGTGTGTGTGTGTGTACAGGCTGGGGTTTGAAGGAGGGAGTTGGCTGGGGACAGGCTTCAGAGAGGAGCTGAGCATGGGCTGGAGGGATAGCCAGTGGACAGAAGGCCCAGGGTCCCGTGGGCCACTTTGCTGGAGAGGAAGCCTGAGCCCAACTTTTCTCTCTAGCCCTCCAGGAGCAGAAACCGGAGAAACATCCCCTTACCCCTTCCCTCAGCCAGTAACGCTGAGAGGACAGGAGGCTTAGGAGTGCAGCCTCCTCCTCATTGTACCATCGGTGGGTCTCCCAGGCAACCCAAGTGCCAGGGTACCCAGGTACCTCAAGAAGAGTCCTTGAACAGAGAGGCCTGGACTCCCAGGCCCCCCACAACCTGTACTGGGGCCCTGCAAAGGAACTGGGACAAGTCTGTGGGCAGGGACTATGACTGGTCCCAACAGGTGGCTCATGTCCGGGGCTCTTGCTCTGTCACACAGCCATCATTGAGGAGACGATCTCTAGGGGATGTCCCAGCTGAAGGAGGATGGCAAGAGTGGGCAAGAGAGCCCTCTGCCTGTTCTAGATGGGACGTCAAGGCCCATTCCCTGGGGACAAGCCTAGGCTGATATCTAAGCCTTGCTGGGGACACGCAGGAGAGGAAAATAAAGCTATAATCCTTTGAATCTGGGCTCTGTGTCTGCTGGCTGCCTCTGAGAGCCTGGAAGTGCTGGGGATTCCTATCGGTGGGCTTCTGTAGCCAGGGAGCCATGCCTGGACCAGTTAGCAAAAGGAATTATAGTGTGGCCACTTGGACTTGCCAAAACCTGGATGTGCTGTCCAGGTGGATAGGTGGGCAGGGTCTGGGTTGGCACTCAACAATGAAAGGGACCTGGGATCTGGGAAGTGGGACACGATGACCTTGGTTGACCCTGACCTCGTGTCTCAGGGCACCTCTTCTCTCCCTATGTCTTCCAACCTCCTCATTTTTCCCCACCCCTTTGGGGGTTGAGCCTCTGCCTCAGGGAGCCCACAATCTCACAAGGGGGTGCTTTCTAAGAGGTCATGCTATGTCTCTGACCTGAGTCCCAAGGATGATGACTGGGAAGACAAACTGTCACAGCTAGCTCCAGTTGTCCACCTGACACCTGGAAAGAGGAAACTCTACTGAGGAATTGCCGCCATTAGATTGGTTTATGGGCATGTCTATGAAGGCATTTTCCTGATTGCTTGCTGATGCAGGAGGGCCCAGTGCACCGGTGACACATTCCAAGGCAGGTGAGCCTGGGCTATATAAAAAAGCTAGCAGAGGGGCTAGAGAGATGGCTCAATGGTTAAGAGCACATGCTGGTCTTCTGGAAGATACAAGTTCAGTTCCCACTACCACACTGGGCAGCTCACAGCTGTCTATTACCCCAGCTCTAGGGAATGCTTCTGGCCTTCTTGGGTACCTACTCACGTGCACATACCCACACGTAGACATACACATGACATGTAATTAAAAATAATAAAAATAAACCTTAAAGAAAATAAGAGCTAGCCGAGCAAGTCAGAGGGAGCAAGCCAACAAGCAGGGTTCCTCCACTGCTCTACCTCAGTTCCTACCTCTGCGTTCCTGCCCTGGCTTCCATTACAGGAGGACAGAAACCTGTAAGCCAGATACACCCCCTCTTTTCCAAGGTGTTTTTGTCATAGAACAGAGAAGCAAACTAATAATAACAACCTGGAATGTGGGGTGCGGCTGTGATGGATCTGGCCATCTGGCTTTTATGCCTTGGGCTGCCTTATGGGACGAAGGCAGAGGATTTTGGAACTTTGTGCAGGAAAAGCTGCCGAGTGCTCAGCTTAGAGACCTGTTGTGGGGACTCGGAAGACGGTTGAGAGCAACGCAGACAGTGGAAGTGAAACCTTTGCTCTATTGGAGCAATGGATGTTTATTAGCTAGGGCTGAAAACATCAGAGGCAAAGTCTTCTGGGAAGAGTTTCTCAGGGTCACCACACAGAAGCCGTGGCCTAGTAGGGGCCCAGGCTGCATCTCAAGCTCTCAACAGAACTTGGAAAACCGTGTGTCTTCCACGTGGTATTGGTTTTGAAGGCACTAAAGTGTCATGGGGAGCAGCTGAGGTCTGGTACCATGTGGCAGGGTAGGCCAGGAGGCCACGGATGAAGGTGCAGTCTCAGTCACAGTGGAAACCTCAGGGTACTGGAGACGTGAGTGTGAGATGTGTGCCGAGGACAGCAGCAGCTGTGGAAAGGAGCTGATTTTAGCCTGCAGGATGAGCAGTGTGTGCTGCAGACGGCAGGCCACAAATGCTGGACCCTAAGATGCAGGCTTTGATAGCTCTACTGGATGTTGGACTTTGCTTGATCTGATCTGTGTCCTGATTCTTCCCTTTTTTTTTTCTTTCTGGTTTTTCAAGACAGGGTTTCTCTGTAGCTTTGGAGCCTGTCCTGGAGCTAGTTCTTGTAGACTAGGTTGGCCTTGAATTCACAGAGATCCACCTGCCTCTGCCTCCCCAGTGCTGGGATTAAAGGTGTGTGCCACCACTGCCCGTATGGTTCTTCCCTTTTGAAATAAGAAAGTATGTAACTATTTTGATTTTACAACAACCCACATTTAAGAGACTGGATATATTTTTTTAAAAAGATAACTTCGACTATCAAGGTACTGTAATTTTTTGTTTGTTTGTTTGTTTGTTTGTTTGTTTTTGAGACAGGGTTTCTCCATCCTGCTCTGTAGACCAGGCTGTCCTGGAACATAGAGATCTGCCTGCCTCGGCCTCCTGAGCGCTGACATTAAAGGTGTGCACCATTGTCCGGCTGGACTGTTTTTCATATTGTGATATTGACATGAGATCTTGGGAACAAACAAGAAAGGAAAGGTTATGCTTAAACAGAGATGTGCTTGGGTGCCACAGTTGACAAGGGGTGGAATATCATAGTTCGCTTGTCAAGCTTGACACCTAGGAAGAGGGAACCTCATAGCCGAGGAATTGCCTCCATCAGATGGGCCTATGGGCATGTCTTCAGAGGCATTTTCTTGGTTGCTAATTGATGTAGGCGGGCCCAGTCCTCTGTGGGTGGCACATCCCTTGATAGGTGGGCTAGCTGATCAGGGGAAGGGATGCAAGCGAGTAAGCAGGGTTCCTTCATGGTCTCTGCTTCAGTTCCTGTCTCCAGGTTCCAGCCTTGAGTTCTGAGTATGAACTATAACCTGTAAACCAAATAGCTCTCCCTTCCCCAAGTTGCTTTTGGTCAGAGTGTTTTATCTCAGCAAACTAGTACAGGGACAATTAGGCTGGGTGGCAGGATGTGAGTCAGGGCACCTGAGGCTGCCCAGGGAGGGTGGGGCACCCTGGGAAAGGTGGAGCTGGGTCCTTGAGTAATCAGCCCTGCAGGCTCCCTCTTTAATTTTTTTGAAATTACATTTATTTTATATTATGTCCTTTGCTTGTATTGTATGTAGGTGAGGCATATAAATCTAAGGACAACTTGTGGAAGTCAGTTCTCTCCTTCTACCCTGTGGGAACCAGGCATCCAATTCAGACGGTCTCCTTTGGGGCAAAAGTACCTTTACCCATGAAAAGTGGCTTCCTGTCTTCGAAGCGTACTCTCAAGACCCCTCCCACCCATTGCCTGCCCAGCATCAATAGCCTAGGACTCCTGTGTCCCGGGGAATATAAAGATCTCTGCTGTATTTGCTGAGGTTAAGGTGTGGTCCTAAGGAAGGAGGTGGGCTATGATTTGTTTCAAGTGACTAAAAGGAGCAGAAGAAGCATGGCTGCCACGTGGGAGGGAGGGCTCTATGAGCCTGGGTGGGCAGCTCTCCCAAAATCATGAGACATAAACCTCCGGTGCCCTCCACGTCCTTCTGGGCAGACACCTGGCTTGGAGGCTTGCTTACCCCAGCAGAGGCCAGGTGTCATCCAAAGACCCTGCACGACTCTCGCCGGTCCCGGGGCTGGGGAGACCCTGCCACCCATTCTAGCTGCCCACCCACAGCCCCGCTCCGTCACGTTCCAGCCGCCTGACTCAGGACGCGCGGGGCGGGGAGCCGGGAGGCGGTGCCGGCGCCCGCTCGGCCCTGGAGGCGGCACCAGGAAGCACCCGCCCCGGCCGGAGCCGCCATG